CCCCCCCCCATGAGTACCCTGCCCCAGCACCCACCAGCATCCTGCCCCAACACCCTGTCCCCTGCACCCACCAGCACAGTTGGGGCCACATTAGTGAGGCTTGGGGGGTTTTGGAGCAGTTTGTTTTTGCATCTCCCTTGTGTGGCCCCGACTGACTTTTCTGTGGGTCAGTGACCCCTGACTCAAAACAGGTTCCCTGCCCCTCTCATAAATAAAGACAATGCTGAAACATTTTGTGCTTGACGTAATATTTTATTTAAAAATGAAGCCTGGCCAACAAACCCCCAATTGGGGCCAAGCCCCCATTTGGCCACAGAATCATAACACTCCTACAACTCCCCTCCCCCCACCACCACACCTGAGCCTATTATACACTGGGAACCCCCTGTCCTGAGCCACTCACATCCCCAAACTCCTGCACCCCCACATCCCTGGTCTTCTTCCACAACACTCCTGCACCATCCACACACTGCAAACCTGTGTCCTGAGCCCATCATACTCCCAGCCTCCCTGCTCTGAGCCCCTCATGCACCTCAGCCAAAATTCCCACACCCTCACAGCCACAAGCCTGCGGCCACAAGCCTGCGCTTTGCTCAGCACCCCAATCCTCTACCTGACCCCAACACACTCCAGCCTGGAGCCCTGTCCCTGAGCCAGCATCCTCTTCTCTACTTCCTCCTACACCCAAATTCCCTCCCAGAGCTTGCATCTCTCACCCTTTCCCAGTACTGTTTTTGTGATGATATGCCCATGGATGATGTACCGGCACCTATTTTTCCCCAGCATGTTTTTTTTTCTCTCTCTCTCTCAACAACTCCCCTGCCCCCCTCTCCTCTGGTACATAGCTCTTTGCACTCTATCCATTGCTGTTTTGGCTCTTCATCTCTAACAGGTTGGCCATCCCTGCAGTAAAGGCTTACTCCCTCTGGGGAAGTAAAGGAGATAGAGACTCCCCTCTGTGTCACACTGAATCATGCTCTCTCCCAGGAGTTGCTTCTGGGTTTTACATACCACCCTTTGCTCAGGGCTGTGCCTAAAGGCAAGATCTAATCCTAAAGTACCAGCATGATATATGGACAGGGTATGGGTCTGTTCATGTGTTGTTGTTTTTTTATTACAGATGCAATAAGCAGAACGATTTAATCAGCAAATAGCTGCCTCTTATTCTCAATATCCTCAGGTGGCCTTTGGCATGGAAATAAACGCACTGCACAATGACCAGACACCTTTCCCACATGCAGTGACCATGGTCATGAAAGGAATGAGGGAGATACGTGTCTCCTTTGTGAAGGTCTGTAGGCATCTCACTTCAGTTTGTGTTCTCTTTACAGTGAAGGTGTAGTCACTGTGTGTTTACTGGTGAGCACAGAGGGTTGGGGTTGTGTGTTTGGGCCCATTTGTAATAGAAAAAGGATCAACAGATTGAGCTGGTTCCTGTGTCTCTTCCTTTCCTCTCTGAAAGAAAATTTCACTAGCACTTTAAGAAATTCACACATTTAATACAATATTTTATTATTCTCCCTCTCTCTCATTCTCTGAGTGGAAGCATAAATGTGTCTAAAAAAAGGATCATCTTCACTAGAACTGGTTAGAAAATAGGTTTCCTTTCTTCGAAAAAAAATAGCAACAATATATATATTAAAACTTTTCAACTGAAAAATGAACTACAGGCAGTCCCTGACTTACGCGGATCCGACTTACGTCGGATCTGCACTTACGAACGGGGCTTTCTCGCCCCGGAAGTCGGGGCGAGAAAGCCCCGTTGGTAAGCTGCTCCGGTGCCCCTGGTCTGCTGGAGACCGTCTCCAGCAGACTAGGGGCACCGGGCGGGTTCCCGCGCTTCTGAGGCTTTGCCAGGGCAAAGCCTCAGAAGTGCGGGAACCACCCGGTGCCCCTGGTCTGCTGGAGACGGTCTCCAGCAGACCAGGGGCACCAGAGCAGCTTAAGAACGGGTCTTTCTCGCATCCAACCTCCGGGGCGC